GACTGTTAATACACAACAACATGCACAATATACTATGAATGTCTTGTTTATTTTTACTTTATTTTTAAAAAAGATTTTATTTATTTATTTGACAGAGACAGAGAGTGCACAAGCAGGGGGAGCAGTGGGCAGAGGGAGAGGGAGAAGCAGGCTCCCCGCTGAGCAAGGAGCCCAATGCAGGGCTGGATCCCAGGACCCTGAGATCATGGCCTGAGCCAAAGGCAGACATTTAACTGACTGAGCCATCCAGGCACCCCGAATGTTTTATTTAGATAATATAACCATTAGCTGAATCATGTTCCTAGCAATTCCTACCTTTTATTGGTCTAAAGACATATCCTCACATCTTAAAAAAGTATCTGTCATGGAATAATAGGTGTTCAATAAACTAACTGAATCTATGTCGTAATTTCCAGATAAGATGCTCTATTATCAAAAATGGAGGCTATCTAATTAATCTGCTGGTCATTCAGAACCCTTCCCTCTTCTTCAAAATAAAAATACAAACCAGAACCTTCTTCTGAAAATTTGAAACTATATATATATATATATATATATATATATACTATATATATACACATATATATGTTATATATGTTAAAAGCTGGATATATATATATATTATAAGCAGGATACACTTTACACTTGAAAAACATCTACAAGGTTAGTAGTAAATTTTATAGAACTCTTAGAAGAAAACATAGGCATAATTCTTCATGCTTGGGGGTGCCATTCAGGAAGGTAATTCCTCAGTGTCTAAATAAAGACAACTTAAAAAAAAAGAAAGAAAACGTATCCACACAAAAGCCTGTATGTGAAATGTTCCCAGCAACACTATTCTCAATAGCCAAAAAGTGGAAACAACCCAAATGTCCACAAACTATGAATGGATAAGTAAAATGTGGCCTATCTATACAAAAGAATATTATTCTACAATAAAAAGGAATAAATTGGTATTCATGTTATAACACAGATGAACTTTGGAAACATCATACTAAGTGAAAATATGAAATTTCCAGAATAGGCAAATCCATGAAGACAGAATGCAGATTAGTAGTTGCCAAGGGACTAAGGGGAAGAAGGAACTCGAAGTGTCTACTAATGGGTATGGTGTTACTTTGGGGGAATGAAAATATTCTGGAATTAGATAGTGATAATGGTTGCAAAACTTTGGGAATATATTAAAAACCCCTGGATAGTACACTTGACGCATTATCTTAGCCAAAAGGCCAAGTTGGACTGTATACTTAAATACATTTTAAGTTTTTAGTTATGTTTACTTTTTTTTCAAGTAGGCTCCACAACTAGGGTAGAGCCTACCGTGAGGCCTGAACTCATGACACTGAGGTCAAGACCTGCGCAGAGATTAAGAGTCGGATGCTTAACCCACTAAGCCACTCAGGCACACCTGGACTGTACACTTTAAAAGTCTATTATGGTTTATAAATTATATCTCAATAAAAGAAAAAGAAAACCAATGCAGATATTAAAGAATTGAGGTATGACTTGGTCAAGATGCTAAACTATGCCCAAAGGGAAATCTAGTCAGGGGCTTTACAAACTCCATTTTCATTTACTATATCCTGTAACTGTATTTAGACATCAGAAACTGTAAGATAAAACAAATTAAATATTTATTTAGTAATAACTTTTAAGCAAAAAAGTTTTTTTCCGTGAACAAAATCATACATTAACCCTTACTTTCCCATACCATATTTTCTTCATAATCACAAGTAACATTTAAATATAAACCTTCACATCTAAGTTAAACACTCTTCCGAATCACTTTAAGCCATAACAGCTCTGTACATCCTCATGATGATATATTACATACCATTTTCCTTAGAATTTGTGTTCTTCATCTTTACTCTTATATCACTTTTAGGACCAACAGCAAAGACAGATTGAAGAATACTGAGGTATTACCTGTATTCCACATTGATTATTGCTTTTTCTTTCAATGAATTATGCCACTTTGTCACATGTGTTGTAAACAATATTTTCTTATTTACCAAGTAAATAATATAGAATAAATAATTCTATATACTTGAATGTCTATGGGAAGGTTTTGGCAGACAGAAGTTTGCAGCCTGAGTGACAGCTTTTCAAAAAGCAAAAATCAGGTTTTTGTTTTTTGTTTTTTAAATAAATATTTTATTTATTTATTCATGACAGACACGGGGGTGGGGGGGCAGAGACACAGGCAGAGGGAGAAGCAGGCTAAATGCAGGGAGCCCGACGTGGGACTTGATCCCGGGTCTTCAGGATCACATCCTGGGCCAAAGGCGGCACTAAACCGCTGAGCCACCCGGGCTGCCCAACAAAAATTAGTTTTTAACAACCTCTCCTTGTTTAAAAATTCTGAACCTTACTCTGAAAAATGTGTCAATTATCACTACCTTTTACTGCATTGTTAGAAACCCTTCAACAAATATCTAAAGTTAAGATTAAGGTTAATATTAAACAACATAGAGCTGCCAATACAACTAACTCAATGGAGGTGATGAGTGGATAGATAGACATGTTATATACGTATGGCTAAAGCTGCACATACCCTAGCAATGACAACTGCCAATAAGTCTCAACTCCACATAGCGACTGGCAAGTTCCTGCTGACATTATATATAAGCCATATTTTTAGCTCCTTGACCTCTGTCACTCCTAAGCTATAGGCTCTGATATCAAGATATATAATCATGGTGCTATTCCCTTAATAGTGAAGGTAAAATTGGTCTTTATCTATGAGCTGACTTACAGAGAACACTGTTGGATATGTAATAATTAGCCATTAATGGAAAAGACCAAGAATTTGTAATGTTTCATGCAGAGAGTTCATGGGAAAAACATAAATAATCTGTGTGATTCCACAGAAGATATCCAGAAACTTCTTCACACAAAGATGAAAAAGCTTAAGGCACACAGAAATAGAAAGGACAGATAAGACAATCAAGAATATTACCTTTCTAGACTATTTAGTTTTGTTAATATATGTTTTAAATGTTTGATCTAAAAAATGCAGGGGTGGGGGGTAGGGAAGGGGAACTTGTCCAGTTCTTTCCATTTAATAGATTCAACACAAATGTAGCTAAACAGTTGCAGCAATAATATAATAAGCAACCTTTAAGGAACTTCTATTTGGATGCTTTGTAAGAATATACCTTGCTACAATTATTTTGGAAAGCAATTTGGCAATATGTAGTGAGACCTGAAAATATCCATACTCTTTGACTTCCATTTCTGGGAATCTATTTTAAATAAATAATCTGAAACCTGCATGGAGATCTTCCAAGCATTATTTACCATACTGAAAAACAGGAAGCAATCTAATATGCCGATCAACAGGGAAATGATTAAAGAGTTGTGAAATATCCATGAGATACAAAGTATTACATAGTTATTATAGAATATTTACCAAGAATGCCTCTTCACTTCTTTCTTTTCGTGATCCTAGATTGCTTTTTATTTTAAAATAATACATATTCCTTGTGAAAGAAAATTTGAAAAAAACAAATGAAAAACTGAAATCCTCTCATTCTCTTATACTCTATCTCCACCTCCAAAAAGCTTATTACTGTTAAGTTTTTATGAGTAGTTTCTAGAAAATTTCTGGGCATATACAAACTTATCTAACAAACATACATACATACATACATTTATTTATTTATTTTAAAGATTTTATTTATTTATTCATGAGAGGCAGACAGAGAGAGAGAGAGAGAGAGAGAGAGAGAGAGGCAGAGACACAGGCAGAGGGAGAAGCAGGCTCCATGCAGGGAGCCTGATGTGGGACTTGATCCTGGAACTCCAGGATCATGCCCTGAGCCAAAGGCAGGAAGGAGTTCAACTGCTGAGCCACCCAGGCGTCCCTACTTGAAACTAATTTAACACTGTATGTTAACTATACTGGAATTAAAATTAAAAAATAAATAAAATGGACCTAGACTGATAAACATTTAGGTTGATTAGACTTTTCTGCTTACAAATAATGTTTAACTAACATGCTTGAAAATGTAACTTTATGTGTTTGTTTCAATATATCAGTTCATACATTTCAACATTTTAAGCAAAATTGTCAAATCACCCCCCAAAAATACTGTACTGATACTCTTCTCCCTACCTCTCCAAACCATTCAAAATACTGGATACTATCAATTTTTAAGTCTGCCAATATGGATTTTATTTGCATATCTATAATCATGAATAAAGTTAAATCACTCTTCTACTTACAGGTTTATTAAGAGACAATGTTACAGTCAGAAAATTAGCTCTTTGTCACATGTGTTGTAAACAATTCCTCCACTTTCAGTTTTCTAATATTCTAATATTCTAATCTATAAAAAGGAAAATCATTGTTCACTACTGCTATAAAAAAATAATGATATTCCTACTAGAAACTACTAGACATTTATAAATTGATAGAACAAATGATTACCTTACCGAAAACTGCTTAGATTCATTTACGAGCATACTATGTTTGGAAAAAACAAAAATATTAATGTCTCTTGATAGTTTATGTTGATAAATTTCAAATAGAGGAATGTGACTCACAGGGAAATGTTAGAATAACCTCAAAGAAAGAGGAGAGATGTAGAAGAAGGTTAATTAAAAATTATATAAGAAAAAGGGTTGAGATGGCCCTTTATTACGTGGAATTTTTTTTTTTTTTTTTTTTTTTAGGAAGGCTTTACACCCAGCATAGAGCCCTATGTAGACCTTGAACTCATGACCCTGAGATCAGGACCTGAGTTGAAATCAAGAGTCAGATGCTTAACCAACTGAGCCACCCAGTAGACTTTTTAATCATTCTTAGCCAGCCTATAATAGCCACTTCTTTGCCAAAGATGAAAACAGTGAATCTTAGAAAGTAGTTATTGTGACATCTTTAGGAGTTTATTTTTAGAGGAAGGAAAAATGGGGAGTTAAGAGATCCAAGGAAGATCACAAATAAGTACAATAAATATTTCTAGAGATTTGGAATAACAATATAAAATCATACTTACAACTTGAGATTCACGAGCTTTAGGAAATGTTTTGGCAACATTGAGCCCATCAATGACGATATCAAAAGGAGGACAGCATTTTACAAAGTTCTGAAATCTTTCAAGTTCCTGAAAAAGAAAAGCCAGATAAAATATTAATAAGAACTTAGCAAGGACTTTACTATAAACACACTGCCGTAACTTTTATTATTGTTCTGATAAGTAAAAATATTTATCCCTTAAAAATATACAAACTCAAAAATACTTTAAAAATGAAATCTGAGGGCAGCCCTGGTGGTACAGCGGTTTAACGCCGCCTGCAGCCCAGGGTGTAATCCTGGAGACCCGGGATCAAGTCCCACGTTGGGCTCCCTGCATTTAGCCTGCTTCTCCCTCTGCCTGTGTCTCTGCCTCTCTCTGTATATGTCTCTCATGCATAAATAAATAAAATCTTCAAAAAAAATTAAATCTGAAAAGACCAGACTAATACATGCAATTGTATGTAATTATCTGATATACTTTATAACCTCATAGCACTTTACACTTCATAGAGTACTTCCACATGCTATTGCATTTGATCTGTAACCAGTTATTGCCTGTTGAATTGACTCACATGGCAGTCATGATGAAAATGAAATGTCAAAGTCTCTATATCCTGCTCTTAAGCCAGGGAGATTTATTTATTTATTTATTTATCTATCTATCTATTTATTTATTTTTTAAAGATTGTATTTATTTATTCATGAGAGATATATATAGAGAAAAGCAGAGACAAAGGCAGAGGGAGAAGCAGGCTCCATGCAGGGAGCCCGACGGGGGACTCGGTCCCGGGACTCCAGGATCACACCCTGGGCCGAAGGCAGGCGCTAAACCGCTGAGCCACCCAGGGATCCCCTATTTATTTTTTTTTTTAAAGATTTTTACTTATTTATTCATGAGAGACACACAGAGAGAAAGAGAGAGGCAGAGACACACGCAGAGGGAGAAGCAGGCTCTATGCAGAGAGCCTGACATGGGACTCGATCCAGGGTCTCCAGGATCACACCCTGGGCTGAAGGTGATGTTTAACCGCTGAGCCACCGGGCTGCCCCAAGCCAGGGAGATTTAACCTCAGATACACACTAGCCTACCAGGGCAACAGTGTTGAAAGAACAAGGCTCTGTAATAGCTTCTCTGTGTTCATCAAGATGATTTTGTTTACTTCTGGCTATTTTGAAGAATTGGAATATTCAACAAATATTTGTGGAGCCTCTACTATGCGTCCAGCAGTTACTAAGGAGACAAAACTCTAACTTAATGGAGCCTGCATTTTAGTGGAAGGAGACACAAAATAAACCAAATAAATAAATTATATTAAATGTCAAAAAATGTGATGAGTGCTATTGAGGGAAAAAAAAGGAGTGGGAATTCCATTTCTGGTAATGATGGAATAGTCTATACTAGACTATCAGATAATAAAGATTCTACATGAAAAACAACTATTTGAAGGTACTAGAGAATGACCAAAAGCCAGGTAGAAATTCAACAGAATGCAAAATTTGAAAGACACTGTGGTGGTCTTAAAACATGTCTGAAAATTCTTTGAGATCTGTCCCCCAACTCCAAAGGTGGAGCTGACTTCCCTCCACTTGAATATGAGCTCTACTCTGTGAATGCCTCTATGAACAAATGTGGCAGAAGTGACTCTACGTGACTTTCAAGGATAGGTAATAAAAGGCTGTACAGTTTCCATCTGGCTCTCCCTCCCCAGATGTTTGCTGTTAGAACCCAACCTTCATTAAAAAGTCCAGGCAGGAGCTGGGTATAGATATTCTACCTAATAGTCCAACTGAGTCCCATCCAACAGCCAGCAACAACCATCAGACTCGTGAGAATTAAGGAAGATTTCAAGATGACCTCCGCCCCCATTTGGGGGCTAAAGGTATTTGTGCTGAATACCCAAGCAAGTGCTGCACAAATGAGTCTAGTCAAACTCAAGAACCATGAGAGATAATAATAAAAATAATAAATGTTTCTGTTTAAAGCCACTACATTAGGGTGGCTTGTTATCAACCTTTTTTGGATAACCAAAAAAGAATGGAACTGCACCAGGTAAAATTTGCCTGTCTATGGCTTTTTCCCAAAGGGTACTCTCTAGTTAGCATGGTTGGCAGAGGTAGCTAGAAATCAAGCAGAAAACTGCAGACTTACTGGTTTGAGAAATCAGAAGATGACATTTAGGGCTGTCAGAGAGGCTAAAAAGAAAGCTACAAAGAGAGGAACCATAAAAATTTGCATAATTCTGCTCCAATCCTTGGCTAATTCCTATTTGTACATGCATGGAGAAGACACTGTGGACCCAGCAAAAAAGCAACAGATGAAAGACTTAAAAGATCTGAGCAGAGATTTCAGTTACTATCTACTACAGAGATGACAGTCTGAAGTCAGAGTCTAACCAACTTTTTTATAGCCTGGCAAAGCAAAAAATCAATAACCTCTGGAAAAAGATAAATAATCTTTTGCCTTTCCATTGTGTTCCCCACAATGTCCAATATACAGTAAAAAGATTAATAAACAGGAGCACCTGATGGCTCAGATGGTTAAGCATCTGCCTTAAGCTCAGATCATGACCTCTGACTCTTGGGATGGAGCCCCGTGTCCAGCTACCTGTTCAATGGGGAGTATGCTTTTCTCTCTCTCCCTCTGCCTCTACTCTCCACCCCCAATCATGTGCTCTCTCTCTCTCTCTCTCTCAAATGAATAAATATTTTTAAAAAGATTAATAAACATTAGAAGAAATAGGAAAATATGACCCATAGTCAAGACAAAAGGAAGTAAACAGAAATCAATCCAATGTTTAGATGCTGGTCATCAGGCAAGAACTTTAAAGTAGCTCATCTAAATATATCCAAGAGTTTAAAGGAAAATACAGTTAATGGAATCAAAGAAGGGAAAACAGAAAAATGTAAACTATAAAAATGAACATTCTAGAACCCAAAACACAAGTGTGAAATAAAATATTCACAAAATGTACCTAATAGCAGATTAGGGATGGCAGAAGTAAGAATCAGTGAACACGGATCACAGAGCAATAGAAATTACACAATCTAAAGAAAAAAAAATTGAAAGAAAAAGATAAAGCCTTAGTAACCTACTGTGCAATAATGTCAAACAGACTAACATATGGGTAATTACAGTCTAGAAAGAGGATAAAAAAGAGAGTAGAAAAAAATACTGGAATAAAGGCCAAAATTTCCCCCAAATTTGGTGAAAAATGTAACTTACAAACCCAAGAAGCACAGCAAACACAAAGCAGGCTGAACACAAAGCAGGATAAATCATAGGTAAATAGAACACGCAGATGTGGTATGTGTAACAACAGCACAAATGACAGGAAGTGGTAAATGGAATTCTATTGCTGCTAGGTACTAATGGTACCATTTACAAAAAATGTAAAATGGTACTATATAAACTAAACTCTAAGTCAACTGGATTAACTTAAGGGTTCTTACTGTAATACCAAGTCATACGTTAAAAAATAATGCAGAAAAGGTATAGATAAAAAGTGAACAGAAGAATAAAATGAAATAATAAAAAAAATCTTGATTAGCCCAAAAGAACATGAAAGGAAGGACAAGAGACAAAAAAATTTTTTTTTGAATAGAAATAAATTACAAAATAAAATATTTAAATTAAACTCTATCAAAAATGTTGTTTATAGGGCAGCCCCGGTGGTGCAGCAGTTTAGCACCGCCTGCAGCCCAGGGCATGATCTGGAGACCCTGGATGGAGTCCCACGTCAGGCTCTCTGCATGGAGCCTGCTTCTCCCTCTGCCTGTGTCTCTGCCTCTCTCTCTCTCTGCATCTCTATGAATAAATAAATAAAATCTTTAAAAAAATGTTGTTTATAACAGATATACTATAAATATAAAGTACAGATAAACTGAAAATTAGGAGGAAAATATCATGTATCAGTAAGCTTAAGAAAGTTGCAGGGATAACATTAACGTTAGATAAAATGGATTTCCAGAAAAGAAATATTACAAAAAATAAACAGGAAACTGCATAATGACAAGATCAATATATCAAGAAGTCATATTCATAAATAAGAACAGAGCTTCGAAATATATGAAGCAAAATTTAACTGAACTTGAAACAAGGAACAGTTAAGTCTACAATTATATACGGCAATTTCTTTTTTTCTTAAAGATTTTATTTATTTATTCGTGAGAGACAGAGAGAGAGAGAGGCAGAGACACAGGCAGAGGGAGACACAGGCCCCATGCAGGAAGCCCTATGTGGGACTCGATCCCGGGACTCCGGGGTCACATCCTGACCCAAAGGCAAATGCCCAACCACTGAGCTACCCAGGTGTCCATATAGATGACAATTTCAACATTCCTCTTCATAACTGATAGAACAAGTAGAAAAAAATCAGTGAGGATAGAGAAAACAAACTATACTATTGACCACGTGGACTTAATATCTAAAGGACACAACAACAGCAAAATATTTATTCTTTTTATATACACATGGAACACAAAATCTGAAAGGTATGTTTGCATATACATACACACAACCCCAGAAACCAACGGCAGTAAATATCTATAAAAGTCCCAATATTTCTTTTTTTTTTTTTTTAAGATTTTATTTATTTATTCATGAGAGACACACACACACACACAGAGGCAGAGACACAGGCAGAGGGAGAAGCAGGCTCCACGCAGGGAGCCCGACGTGGGATTCGACCCCAGGTTTCCAGATCAGGCCCTGGGCTGAAGAGAGCTCTAAACTGCTGAGCCACCCGGGCTGACCATTTCTTTCTTTCTTTTTTTTTTTTTTTTAAAGATTTTATTTTTTAAGTAATATTTACATCCAATGTGGCACTCGAACTCACAACCCTGAGATCAAGAAGCACATGCTCTTCTGACTGAGCCAGTCAGGCACCCCCAAAGTCCCATATTTCTAAATAATACTTCTAAATGTTCAGGAGTCAATAAAGAAATTATACAGGAAATTAGAAAATATTTCAATAAAGTGATACATAGTAAATATTAAATATCAGAATTTGTGGGCTACATAAGAGTAAATAATTAGAGGAAAATGTATAGCTTTAAATCCTCAAATGAAAAAAAATGTCTAAGTCATTG